TCAGACACCTACGACTTTCTTGTCCCTTCCTAGCAACTTGGAGGTATCTCCAATGTTGTCTTTATCGCCTTCTCCAAGCGACTGTCCCTGTTTCAACCCCTGTACTAGTCCCAGTAGAGCCCGTACCTGATCCCGTCCCAATTAATCAAACTGCCTCAGCCCCATCAGCTCCTGGCCGCAAAGGTAGACCTGCGCGCAATCTTGCCCAGATTGTTAAAAACAATCATTGTGCCTCGTCAGCTCCTCCAACTCCTGTATTACCTACAGCCCCTTCAGCGCCTACTTTAACGGTATTTGCCCCTCGTAGGCAAGTTTTTGTGTCTCGACTTTCGTCGGACACCACTTCTGAGTCATTGGCAGCCTATATTGCTAGCAAATCTTCTGCTAGCGTGTCAATAACCAAATTTAATTTCTCCACCCCTCGTGAAATATCATCATTCAAAATAAATGTTTCACATGATATGTTCCCAATCATTTGTGATCCCAAACTTTGGCCTCCACACATGATTGTTCACGACTTCAAGCCTAAAAAGCGTAACCAGCCTGTCACCCTTCCAGTCCCTTTAATACAGGGTACCATTTCTGCCCCATAAAACTAGCTTCATCTTCTGACCAAATCTTTATTCATTATCAGAATGTCAGAGGTCTCATTTCAAAGCTTAAAAATCCTTTCATGGCCAGCACTTCCTTTGATTCGAATATAATAGCATTTTCAGAAACATGGTTGAACTCAACCATATCTGATTTTGAGATTTTATCTAATAACTTTATTTTGTATAGAAACGATCGGCCGACTTGAGGTGGTGGGTTGTTAATTGCCGTTAAAGCCACTCTCCAGTCAGAACTTTTCTGTTTTAGTACGCCTACTGACGCTGAGATTGTCTCAGTTAAGGTGTCTTTTCCTACACGAAATATCTATGTAACATGCTCTTATGTCCCACCTTCTTCTGATATTCAAGTTTATATGAATCATATTACTTGTATTAAAGAAGTTTCTTCACACGTGCGTGATAATGACCTATTAATTGTGTTGGGTGATTTTAATTTGCCGAACATCTCTTGGTCATTATTTACTGCCAAAAATTATCTAGTGCCCTCAACACAGGACGATTTTATAGACTGCATGCTTGATATTTCGTTGTTTCAAATCAATTCAATTTCTAATCATTTGATTGGAACACTTGACCTTGTATTTGTTAACGACTACCTTATTTCTAATGTGTCTAGGTCCCCTCCTTTATCTCTTCCTGAGGATGTCTATCATCCAACTTTAGAGATTGCAATGCTAAATTGTAATCCTTTCATTTCGTGCTCATCAGCCAATAAGCCCCGCTATTGCTTTCGCAAAGGAAATTATTCTATGCTGAATCAGCTTATTTATTCAACCGATTGGTCTTTCTTATATGACTCAGTTGATATGAATACAGCCATTAATTTTTTTTACATCACCCTAATCTCCCTCTTAGATGTGTGTATTCCTAAGTAAATTCCTTCGACTACTTTTTCAAAACCACCCTGGTTTACTACCAGATTATCACATCTAAAAAATGTAAAATCCAAATATTTTAAAAAGTTTTAAAAGTCTGGTTCGTGTACAGACTTGGCTAAATATTCCATAGCCAAGTCGAACTTCTTTCTTCTTAATTCTCAATTCGCCCGAAATCCGAGACAGTTTTATAATTTTGTAAACTTGAAGCGTAAATCTTCAAGTTTGCCATCTTCTTTTTTACTTGGCTTGGATAAAGCTAGCAATGACACTGATTCTGCTAACCTTCTTGCTAATTTTTTCCAATCAACTTACCCTTCAGTCTGTCCTAATACTAATTCTTACCCTTATACTATTTCTTCCGCAAGTTATATACCTCCTCTAATTATTTCACACTCCTCTCTCCTATTAGCTATAAACTCTTTAAAGTCTTCTTACTCTCCTGGGCCGGACAATATTCCTAGTTGTCTACTCAAGGAGTGTAGTTCTTCCCTTCTTTATCCATTGCTAAAGCTTTTTAATCTATCCCTTGAAACTTCTGTCTTTCCATCTCTTTGGAAAGAATCTTATATCATTCCTCTTCACAAGAAAGGTGGGAAGTCTGATATACGAAATTACAGGGGCATTGCAAAACTGTCCGCTATTCCTAAATTATTTGAAAAAATAATCACTTCGAATTTGCAGCATTTCCGCAAATCTGTTGCTTCCCCTGTTCAACATGGATTCGTAAAGAATCGGTCAACTACGACCAATCTGCTTGAGTTTACTTCCTTGGTAAACGATGCTTTCCTTTCGAAAATGCAAACTGATGTCATTTACACTGACTTCAGTAAGGCGTTTGACTCTGTGCATCATGACATTTTACTTTTTAATCTTGACCGAATAGATAATACATAATGAAAGTGAGCAACTACATAATATTTATTATGTACAATAATATAATCGGATGAATTTGCTAAAACAACTCCAGTTAATCCCCCAACTGTAAATAAAAATACAAATCCTAAAGCTCAGAAAATAGCTGGTGAGTAAGGATGTTGTGTTCCGTGAAGGGTAGCAAATCAACTAAAAATTTTAATTCCTATAGGTACCGCAATAATTATTGTTGCTGATGTGAAATAAGATCGGGTATCTACGTCTATTCCGACTGTAAATATATGATGAGCTCACACAATAAATCCTAAAAATCCATTTGCTAGTATTGCGTAAATTATCCCTAAAGTCCCAAAAGTTTCCTTTTTACTTAATTCTTGGCTAATAAATGGGAAATCAATCCTAATCCAGGTAAAATTAAAATATAAACTTCTGGGTGACCAAAAATATAAATAAATGTTGATATAAAATGAAGTATTAAAATTTCGGTCTGTTAATAATATAGTAATAGCTCCTGCTAAAACAGGAAGTGATAAAAGAAGTAAAAGAGCTGTAATTACAACAGATCAAACAAATAAAGGTATACGGTCTAAAGTAATTCCTGAGGATCGTATATTAAATTCTGTTGTGATAAAATTTACAGTCCCTAAAATTGAGGAAATTCCTGCTAAATGTAAAGCAAAAATAGATAAATCTACTGAACCTCCTCCATGAGCGATTCCTGCTGATAATGGGGGGTAAACTGTTCACCCTGTTCCGGCTCCATTTTCAACTATTCTTCTGACTAATAATAATGATAATGTAGGGGGTAAAAGTCAAAATCTTATATTATTTATACGAGGAAAAGCTATATCAGGAGCTCCTAATATTAAAGGTACAAGTCAATTACCAAATCCTCCAATCTAACTATAAAAAAAAGTATAATAAAAGCATGGACTGTAACAATTACATTATAAATTTGGTCATCACCAATTAGGGCTCCAGGATGACCTAATTCAGCTCGGATTAAAATTCTTAATGATGTTCCAACTATTCCACCGAAAATAAAATATAATGTTCCAATATCTTTATGCTTTGTTGAAAATAATCATTGTCGCGAATAAGTGGCTGAAATTAGGCGATAGATTGTAAATCTATTTATAAGAAATATTCTTCTTAATCAATTGATTAGTAAAATTATTAATTGGTCTTATAGTCAACAATGACATCAAACTGCAATTTTGAAGGAGTAATTTATTACTAAGGCTTAAAGGATTTCATATATTTACGGCTTTGAAGGCTATTAGTTTAATTTAACTTAAAGCCTTTAATCTAAAATATAGAATAAAATATTGAAATTATAAATAATCCAAAAATAGATAAAATTGTACAAATTAGGTTTAATTTTATACTAAAATTATTGATTTGAATGTTAATAACCCAGTTACTTTCGTAGTAATTTTATATAAATGCCGAATAACAAATTCGCAGATAAAAAATAGTGTAACTAAAGTTGATATTATTAAAATTATTAATTGAAAATATTGGTTACAAAAAGTTAATTGTTGAATTACTACTGATTTTGGTAAGAATCCTAAAAATGCGGGTAATCCAGCTATAGATAAAAAGTTTATAAATAAAGTACATTTTATAAATTTTCTTTATAAATAAATCATGAAAATAATTGGTTCAAATGAAATAATTTGAAAATATAAAATATAAAAGTTAAAATAAATGATAAAAAAGTATAAAATAAAAAATAAACTATTCAAATCGATTATTTAATTATTAGTGCTTTTAATATTCAACCTAAATGATTAATACAAGAAAAAGCCATAAGTTTTCGTAAAGAAGTTTGGTTTAAACCTCCAATTGCTCCGATAATTACAGAAAGAATTACACTAAGTAATAAATTTTTAAAATTTAAATAAGAAATTAACATTAAAAGAGAAATTTTTTGTCATGTTATTAAAAGAAGAGCGTTTATTTAAGAAAATCCCTCTATTAAATTAGGGAATCAAAAATGAAATGGTGCGAAATTTTTTATTTAAATTGGTAACTCTATTGTAATATATTAAATATTTATATATATATATAGATTATCTATTAATCTAGACTTAGTATACAAAAATTTTTTTTTGTTTTTTAAATTTATTAATTTTAAAATAGATATATTTTCTTTATACTTATTTTTTCATAAATTGCAAAAAAAAAAAATAAAGATTTTTGAATAGCCTTAAAATTTACTTTTATTGAATTATGTTATTGATGTTATTTTTTTAATTAAATTTAATTAATTGAATTATATTATTGATGTTATTTTTTTAATTAAATTTAATTATCTTGTGAATTTATTATCATCGATATTGTTTTATTTAAATAAATTTATTAAAATTAATTTTATTTAACTTATTTATTAATAAATTTTTAAAATTTTTTTTTAATATTGTGATTTTTGAAAATTATTGTAATTATAAATTAGATTTATACTATACTAAAATGTAATATGTTTAAAATTATTTATTTTTAAATTATGTAAAATTTTTAAAAATTAGGTATTAATATGAAAAAGTAAAAAATAAATTGTTTTGAGGAGATGCTAGTTTGCACCCCTCTTCGGCCCTTTTATGTTTTATAAATTTAAATAAAAATCAAAGGAGCCTTTAGACTGCTTGTAATGCGTGATTTACTTCTCGAACTTTCAACAATAACTATCGATAGATTAGTGGTGAGCAATTTACAATGGTATTTTATGGTGGTTTAAAAATAATAGTATGTGACTTCAATATCGTGATTTGAGAAGTAAAGATATATTGTAATTCAGATATAATATTATTCAGAGGGCGTTCTGCTGCGAACATGCTCCCCCCGTTGGAAGATACAAGCTTTCAACCGATGTGGTCTCGATTGGCAGAACGGCGATTTTGGCAATGGCTCTCTTGACCAGACCATTTTGTGTACGAATGACTGCTACTCTCACAATGCCGTCGTCACCCGTGATGACGCTGTCGACTCGACCAAGCGGCCACCTGAGTGGTGGTGCATTGTCCTCCTTGAGCAGCACGATGCTGCCGGCCTGAAGATTTTGCTTGGACGATCGCCATTTCCCGCGCTCTTGGAGCAACGACAAATACGATGTACTCCATTTCTTCCAAAATGATTGCTGCATGTGACATATTCGCTGCCAACGGCTGAGGCGACCTATGCTTAGGTGAGTTATGTCTGGCTCGTCGATAGTGGCATTGGCTTTGCCCCAGATGAAGTGCCCAGGCGTGAGTATCTCCAAGTCATTCGGGTTTTCTGTAATAGAGCAAAGCGGTCTTGAGTTAAGCATTGCGGATATTTGACAGATGAGAGTTCGGAATTCGTGGAATGAGAGAAGAGAATTTCCAACGACGCGGTAAAAATGATATTTTGCTGACTTGACAGCGGCCTCCCACAATCCTCCAAAATGTGGCGAACGGGGCGGAATGAATTTCCAGTTGATTCCCAGAGCTAGGCAGTTGCGAACAATCTCATTGCGCTGGGGATCGCTTATAAACAGGTCGCGCAGTTCCTTTAGCTCATTTCGAGCACCCACGAAATTTGTGGCGTTGTCTGTCCATATTGTAAGCGGTTTCCCTCGAAGGCTGATGAATCTCTTCAAGGCAGCGATAAACGATGACGTGGACAGGTCCTCTACCAACTCTAAATGCGTTGCTTTCGTTGCAAAGCATATAAAAATTGAGATGTAGCATTTCGTTGGTGAGCGATTCCTGACCTCTGATTTGACGTAGAAAGGACCGCAAAAGTCGATGCCAGTTACGTGAAACGTCGGACTTGGCTGCACACGCTCAGCTGGTAGCGGGGCCATGACTTGCTCCAGAAGTTTAGGTCGCATTCGAAAGCAGCGCACGCACCTGTTGATGATATTTGAGACAGCCTTGAGACCTCCGATGGGCCAGTATCGCTGGCGGAGTGTTGCTAGAAGGAATTGCGGACCAGCATGAAGAAATTCCAAATGATAATATGTGATCATAGCTGCGGTGACTGGGTGGCGTTTAGGCAACAATAACGGATGCTTTGCTTCATATTCCAAGTTTGAGTTCTGAAGGCGCCCGCCGATGCGCAAGAGTCCCTCAGCGTCCAACAGTGGGCACAATGAACGAAGTTTGCTTCTTGTTGGAAGCGGCCTTTTTAAGCTGAGTGCTTTGTACTCTTCGGCGAAGTGCGTAAGTTGAATGTTTTTTATAAGTAAATGCGTTCCGCACTTGATATCATCTGGAGTGAGTGGACCTTTTGAACTCGTCGAATCAGATCTTTTTAGCGCAATAAATCGATACACGTATGCGAAAGTGCGCTGTTACTTGGCAAATGTGTTGTTGAATTTACAAGATGCCGATAGGTCCGTCTTCGTTGATACTACCAGCACTTTCTGGCGTCGTTCTGGAAGCTCAATGGGATAGGCGACGTTTTGAGGCCAAGTCGAGCTAGCGGCCTGTATAAATGGGGGTCCATTATGCCATAGCTGTGAGTCTAAAAGTTCCAAAGGTGTGCATCCACGTGATAAAATGTCCGCAGGGTTCAGCTGAGAGGGTACATGATGCCAGGTCATGCCCTTGGTCCGCTCCTGTATTTGTGATACCCTGTTGGATACAAAGACGTTAAACTTTGAAGGTGATTCACGAATCCATGCAAGCGCTACTGTTGAGTCGGTCCAGCAATGATATCTGCATTCGAACTGAATGCACTTGGCAATGTTTCCTATGAGCTCTGATAATAAAAGTGCAGCTGCCAGCTCAAGCTTTGGGATTGTCAGCGTCTTTAATGGGGCGACCCTTGATTTAGAGCATAGCAAATGTGATGAAAATACCCCTTGCATTTCGGATCTGACAAATACGCAAGCACCATAAGCGGCTGTGCTGGCGTCGCAAAACCATGCAGCTCATACGTAGCTAGCGGCATCAATACAAAACGGGAGAATTTCAAGCTGCTGACAAATGAGAGTTTCGATATGAGTTTGATCCATTCGAAGTGTAGCGACTACGACAGGCATTCGTCCTAATTGACCCTTTCCTTCCACAGTGCTTGGAGAAATACCTTTAACCTGGTAACGATGGGAGCGATCAATCCGAGCGGATCGTAAAATCTCGCTATCATTGATAATATGCTCCACTTTGTGACTGGTCCTTCGGGTACGATCTCCGCAAAGTTGAAAAGCAGGCTATCCGAGCTAGGGCTCCAAGCTAAGCCAAGCGTCTTTGCAATGTTGGTGCCATCCTTGAACTCCATTAGCTTCTCACAATCGGATTCGCTTTCTCCTTTTAATGCATCAGGCTCGTTTGAGCACCACTTTCTGATTGGAAAGTGACCTTTAGCCAGTAGCAGTTTTACTTGCTGTCGGATCTGAATGGCTTCTTGTATAGAGTCCCCTCCAGAAACTAAATCGTCTACGTAAAAGTCGCGACAAACTATCTTTGCAGCTAGTGGAAAGGTAGGCTCTTCGTCGTGGGCCAGCTGCTGCATCGCTCGAATTGCTAGAAACGCAGCGGGTTTGGTTCCATACGTTACTGTATCCAGGGTATACGTCCTTATGCTTTCATTTTTGTGATCACGCCATAAGATGCATTGCAGAAATTGATCTGGATGCGTTATTCGGGCACAGCGGTACATCTTACAGATGTCACCGCACATGGCAACCTTTAAAAAACGAAACTGAATTAGAATGTTGAATAATTTGGGTTGAATTGCTGGGCCTGTATGCAAAAGATCATTCAGAGATGCGCCTGACGTGGATTTGGCTGATCCATCAAAAACGACGCGCAATTTGGTGGTTAAGCTATCTGGCTTTTCTACGCAGTGGTGGGGTAAATAGAATTGTGGGACAAGCTGCTGCTTGGAAGCCAAAGACATGTGGCCCAAGTCGATGTATTCGCGCATGAATGCAGTGAATACTGCCCTGACTTTAGTCGCGTGTAGCCTTGGAGAAATAACTGCTCACATAGTGCGTCTTCATCAGAGAGCGCAGGGGTTGTACCGCAGCAATTGTCGACTTCCCAGAATCGTTTTACAATATCCGACAGTGGATCCTCCCATGGATTAGGTTCCTTGTAAAGGGCTGAAAGGGATGTGTGTTTGTTGTGTACGCGAGAGAGTCCGCCAGACGCAATCCATCCGAGCTTGGTCTTTTGGAGCGTTGGTAGGTTATCCGCCATTCGAATTTGGCCGATGCAAATGAGATCGAAAAATAGTCCGGCACCAAGTAATAAATCTATTCTTTGAGATTTGAAAAACGTTGGATCCGCGAGCGAGATGTTTTTGGGGATATTCCACCCAGAGATGTCTAACCCAAAGTGGGGCTGATAATCCGTTATAGTGCGAATAACGACTGCTGAAAATGATGTGCTGAAGCTCCTATCACGTGACTGCGCTGATATGTCAGTGGACATGTTAGAAGATAGGGTTGATTCGCCTATACCAGATATTGATACGGCAGCATGATGAGTTTTGAGTTGGAGCTGCTTTACTAGACGAGCGGTGATAAAGTTGAGTTGAGATCCAGAATCCAGTAATGCACGACAGGGTATGAATAAACCTGAGTGGCTCTTTGCATATAAGATGGCGGTTGGAAGCACCACATAGTCTACAGGCAGGGCATTCGTGGCTTCAGGCGCGAATTCAAGAGCAGTGCTGACGAGAGTTGAAGATGGTGGATTACTTGAAGACGATGCGTGAGGCTGGATCGTGGCTGCAGCCTGCAAGCTTGGTGTACACAGGGCAAATGATTGAGTTGTGATGGGGCTCATGTGCAGCAACGAATGATGTTTTTGTTGACAATGCCTGCAGTGACCTGAGCGACATTGCTGCAAGCCATGGCCTTTGCGCAAGCAGTTTAGGCAAAGATGCAATCGCTTGGCCTCCTTGTGGCGCAAACTTGGGGACAGATTAAAAAATAACGGGCATTTAACAAGAAAATGCTCTTTTGAGTCGCAAAAATTACAATTTTGCTGGTAATTGTTAGATGAGGATGCAATGAATGTGTTACGATTCAATTTTTGTACATTTCTGGTAACCTGGTGGCTAGGCGTAGGTGCCGTAGCGCCTTTCAAGTTTTCCATCATGCGGCATCTCTTCTCTAAGAACGCCGACATATCCGTCCACCTGGGTAGCTTATCCGTTGCAAGCGCTTCCTGCCACTTTTCCTGGGTGTGGTGATCGAGCTTGTGCGATATTGTGTGTATGAGTAATCCGTCAGCCAGCTCCTCAGTTGTTGACATGGTGCTAAGCGCCCGAAGATGAGAGTTAATTTTGTCACTCAACTCACGCAACGCCTCTGCTGATCCCTTTTCAACGCCTGGCAGGCCGACTATAGCCCGCACGTGGCCCTGAAAATGTAGCAACTTATTATCAAAACGCTTTATGAGTAACTCCAACGCCTTGTCGTAATTCACGTCGACAGGCTCTAACGATTTGATTGTGTTGAGAGCAGCACCATCCAAGCACGCACGTAAATGTTGTAATTTCTCAATCTTACTCAGGTCCTCATTGCTGCCAATGACAGTCTTGTACATGGCGTAGAAATCCGGCCAATCCTCGTAGGAGCCGCTGAACCTGGGCAGCTGCAATTCCGGTAGGCGAGACTTACGGTTGAACGAGTGAGCAAATGTGTGCGTACTTTCAGCAAAGCGTGGGATAGTTGTTGAATTGGCGTCAGTCATACGTCCCTTAGTGACTATGTCCATTTGACGAGCGAGAGTGGATTTGATCTTCCAGTAAACCTTCTCGAAGTCTGAGCGAGCGTCCGTTGAAAGCTCGAGCAAATCTAATTTTTCTAGCCTTGACTGGCTGATATCAAACTCGGCCTTCAAGCTCTCCGCCGATTCTATACGCACCATCAGATCGGCCTCGTCAAAGCTGATCATCTCACCAGCGTGGAAGAATTCGTTCATTGCTAATAGTTGGCGTTGAACAGAAGCGCATTTGGCTTTGCAAAAGTCTTTTTCACTTGTCGAATTTTCCATTCTGTTGTTGGCGAGGTTATGTTCGGTTGGTACGTTTTGTTGAGTGCTCACTGTACTCCGGCCTGTCACCAAAGTCCACTTATGGAGAAGAGCTTTGCCCTTAACCACAGAGTGAGCAATGCGAGAATGAGATTACCGTTTTATGTGTGCAGCGGCTTGTGTATGTGTATGTATCGAGATCAATTGTAGCGGCACTTGCATTCACATTCATATGTATGTATGTAAGTATGTAGGTATCTGCTCGACGGCTTCTTTTCTACATATGTACATATGTCTGTACTTGAGTTTAGTGCCTATGCTGCAGCAGCAAAAGAGCGATGAACAACGAAAGTGAGATTTGCGGCAAGACGAGAAGCAAGAAATAAAAAAAATCACGTCGGGGTCACCAATGTTTTGAGGAGATGCTAGTTTGCACCCCACTTCGGCCCCTTTTATGTTTTATAAATTTAAAGTTTTGTTATTAAAAATTTGTTATTAATTTGATTTATATGTAAATTTTTGTGTGAATATTTAATAATTTTAAAAATTATTTTATTTATTATATTTTATAAATGTTAATTTTTTATACATGAAGACACTTTTCTGGGACACAAATGCACCAATGAAGGAATCTTGCCAGACAACAAAAAATACGACGTCATTAAAAACTATCAAGTCCAACACAATGCGGACAGCGCTTTATACTTTAGATCATCCATGTAAAGGTATGCTTGAGAAGGTTCGAGTCCAGAGAATGACAGTCTCTGAAATAAATTTGGCGCTATTTTTAAACCAAAAGGTAATCGCGATAAGCGATATGAGGCATTTCTCATTTAAAAATACGTTTAATTTCTTAAACTTTCTTCAAGTTCAATTTGGTGAAAGCCTGACATTAAGTCAAGGCATGAGAAATATTTTGCCCTACCTAGTTGATCTAAAATATCATCAATTCTAGGTAGTGGAAATTCATCAGACAATTGCTTTTATTAATCTGACGATAGTCAATTACTAATCGCCATTTCTTATCTTCTGAGTCTGAAAGTGCTTTCTTTAGAGCTAGTAAAAGTGGGCTATAGTAATCTGCTATTGTATTCTGCTTTTCGGATAAATTCTGAGCTTGGTGGTTGAAGTATTGAATTGTTATCAGAACTGTATGTTATCGGAACATAAATTTGGATATTTATATTGTTTGGTCTTATTATAAACCAATCTTCGGACGGTTCAAGGTCTATTTTGCAATTAAGACCTTTAATTAAATCTATGCCTCTTATTCCGTCACACGGTATAGCGAAATTTGTATCGACTTTATGAAAATTTTGACGAATTATATATTTGTCTGCTTGTAACTCTATTGGGGCGGGGCCTTTGGATTTTATGACTCTTTGACCTATTCCTCGAATGTCTATAGTTATTCAACTGGATGTTATTGAAGACATAGGAATCTTATTTTAAAATTGAGATGTCTGCACCAGTATCTATTAAAAATACAAGTTTCTTTCCTGATTCTACATTATAATAAAAAGAGACAAAAATATTGAGATTTAAGTTTATTAAATGTACGTTTATTAGTTGTGTATCTAAAGAGGGTTGTTGGTTTCCCGAATTATTTTGGGCTACCCTAACATTATTTCTGTTATTGTTGTGGCCTCGGTTCGATTTGCCACGGCCTCTAAAGTTTCCTCTATTTTGACCTTGTCCTCTGTTGTTATTGTTGTAGCCGCCTCTGTTGTACGTATAATTACCTCTACCGCAGTTTCCGCTACGATCAGAGTAATTTTGGTAATAAAGGACAGTATTAGTTTGTCCGGTTGCTTCTGTGCATCTATTAACATATTTTGATATGAAATCATTCATGTTATAGAATGCGCCTGCCTGCATCATAAGTTTTACCTTATCTATAGCGCAGTTCTTTGTCATAGCTTTTACGGCTTGGGCTGTGCTATATTTGGTGGCTAAATCTGAATTTAAACCATCATCAAAGAGAGAGTTCTCAGTTGAGAGTGATTGACGTGTTTTACTTGTGCTCCAAGATTTTTATATATTTTTGCGCTTTTATCCTGCTTTTTATTTCAAAATTTTGCATTTTTCGGTGCTTTATTTAAGAAGCTTTAATAAACTGTGCAAAGTGTTATCTGTTGTGCAGCGTAAGTCTGTTAATTATTACATTTTATAAAACGCGGCATCAGCTCCGTGTTGTTGTTATTGCCTGTTTTGATTCTTTTGCTTTGGTGCTCCCCTGTGCATACACTTGTTTGTGCGTGTGTTCGCTGCATACTTTCTGCTTGTGCATCGCGCTCTCGCAAACTTTTTCTATTGCTTTTTGCTCCAAACAATTTGTTTGTGTATTTACTTGCTCTATCTTGTGCACCGTTTTCGTTTTGCTCTGTGCTCTCGCAATTTGCATACGCATTAAATAATTATGTTGTGCTGTAAGAAACCGTGCACGTTCAAGCAGGCTGATGATTCTGCACTGCCGCAATTTGTTAATTGCTGGCTGTGTGAGAATATGATGCATGCTAAATGTGCAGGTCTCACTGGGCGTGATTGCGACAAGATCGCTGCTATTGCCAAGAAGGGCTGTGGTGGCTTGCGTTGGTCGTGCCCAGAATGCATCGACAAGCAAATTGATTTCTCTAGAATGTATAATTCTGTGAGAAGTCAATTCTTAAAATTAAATAATGTGGCTAAGCAGCTCTCGAGTAATTTTGACTCGAGTTTCGAGCTGCTTGGCAAATATAAATTTGAGTCCCCAACCAATCGCCGGTTGGAGCCTCAACTTTTGCAATTGCCCTCTACGTCTGTTCAGACACCTACTACTTTCTTGTCCCTTCCTAGCAACTTGGAGGTATCTCCAATGTTGTCTTTATCGCCTTCTCCAAGCGACTGTCCAATTACCCCTGTTTCAACCCCTGTACTAGTCCCAGTAGAGCTCGTACCTGATCCCGTCCCAATTAATCAAACTGCCTCAGCCCCATCAGCTCCTGGCCGCAAAGGTAGACCTGCGCGCAATCTTGCCCAGATTGTTAAAAACAATCATTGTGCCTCGCTAGCTCCCCCAACCCCTGTATTACCTACAGCCCCACCAGCGCCTACTTTAACGGTAGTTGCCCCTCGTAGGCAAGTCTTTGTGTCTCGACTTTCGTCGGACACCACTTCTGAGTCATTGGCAGCCTATATTGCTAGCAAATCTTCTGCTAGCGTGTCAATAACTAAATTTAATTTCTCCACCCCTCGTGAAATATCATCATTCAAAATAAATGTTTCACATGATATGTTCCCAATCATTTGTGATCCCAAATTTTGGCCTCCACACATGATTGTTCACGAGTTCAAGCCTAAAAAGCGTAACCAGCCTGTCACCCTTCCAGTCCCTTCAATACAGGGTACCATTTCTGCCCCAAAAAACTAGCTTCATCTTCTGACCAAATCTTTATTCATTATCAGAATGTTAGAGGTCTTATTTCAAAACTTAAAAATCTATTCATGGCCAGCACTTCCTTCAATTCGGATATAATAGCATTTTCAAAAACATGGTTGAACTCAACCATATCTGATTTTGAGATTTTATCAAATAACTTTAGTTTGTATCGAAATGATCGGCCGACTCGAGGTGGTGGGGTGTTAATTGCCGTTAAAGCCACTCTCCAGTCTGAACTTTTCTGTTTTAGTACGCCTACTGACGCTGAGATTGTCTCAGTTAAGGTGTCTTTTCCTACACGGAATGTCTATGTAACATGCTCTTATGTCCCACCTTCTTCTGATATTCAAGTTTATATGAAACATATTACTTGTATTAAAGAAGTTTCTTCACACGTGCGTGATAGTGACCTATTTATGGTGTTGGGTGATTTTAATTTGCCCAACATCTCTTGGTCATTATTTACTGCCAAAAATTATCTAGTGCCCTCAGCACAGCACGATTTTATAGACTGCATGCTTGATCTTTCGTTGTTTCAAATCAATTCAATTTCTAATCATTTGACTAGAACACTTGACCTTGTATTTGTTAACGACTACCTTATTTCTAATGTGTCTAGGTCCCCTCCTTTATCTCTTCCTGAGGATGTCTATCATCCAACTTTAGAGATTGCAATGCTAAATTGTAATCCTCTCATTTCGTGCTCATCAGCCAATAAGCCCCGCTATTGCTTTCGCAAAGGAAATTATTCTTTGCTGAATCAGCTTATTTATTCAACCGATTGGTCTTTCTTATATGACTCAGTTGATATGAATACAGCTATTAATTTTTTTTACATCACCCTAATCTCCCTCTTAGATGTGTGTATTCCTAAGTCAATTCCTTCGACTACTTTTTCAAAACCACCCTGGTTTACTACCAGATTATCACATCTAAAAAATGTAAAATCCAAATATTTTAAAAAGTTTAAAAAGTCTGGTTCGTGTACAGACTTGGCTAAATATTCCATAGCCAAGTCGAACTTCTTTCTTCTTAATTCTCAATGCTATGAGAATTATCTAATACGTTGTAAAAGACAATTTTCCCGAAATCCGAGACAGTTTTATAATTTTGTAAACTTGAAGCGTAAATCTTCAAGTTTGCCATCTTCTTTTTTTCTTGGCTTGGATAAAGCTAGCAATGACACTGATTCTGCTAACCTGTTTGCTAATTTTTTCCAATCAACTTACTCTTCAGTCTGTCCTAATACTAATGCTTACCCTTATACTATTTCTTCCGCAAGTTATATACCTCCTCTAATTATTTCACACTCCTCTCTCCTATTAGCTATAAACTCTTTAAAGTCTTCTTACTCTCCTGGGCCGGACAATATTCCTAGTTGTCTTCTCAAGGAGTGTAGTTCTTCCCTTATTTATCCATTGCTAAAGCTTTTTAATCTATCCCTTGAAACTTCTGTCTTTCCATCTCTTTGGAAAGAATCTTATATCATTCCTCTTCACAAGAAAGGTGGGAAGTCTGATATACAAAATTACAGGGGCAT